CCCTGAAAGTGGAGGTTTCACGACTCACCTTGTAAATGCAAGCTGACCAGGAAGAAACCGAAAAGGGCGAGGCTGAAAGACATCCGACGTCCCATCGTCCCCTGGAAAAGAATTGGTTTCAGGCAGGCAAGTCAAGAGGTGCTTTCTGCTTGGGAAAGAAGGAGTGTCTTGGGAGAAGTTAGCAGGTTAGAGAGCTGGGCCAAAACTCACAAAATGAATTTCAACAGCAAGAAATTTGAAGCAGAAATATTGCCTTCAAAGCACCCCCAACAGATGGCCATCCAGCCTCTGTTTAAAAGCTTCCAAAGAAGGAGCCTCCACCACACTCCGGAGCAGAGAGTTCCACTGCTGAACGGCTCTCACGGTCAGGAAGTTCTTCCTCATGTTCAGATGGAATTTCCTTTCTTGTAGTTTGAAGCCATTGTTCCATTGCGTCCTAGTCTCCAGGGAAGCAGAAAACATATTCACTCCCTCCTCCCTGTGGCTTCCTCTCACATATTTATACATGGCTATCATATCTCCTCTCAGCCTTCTCTTCTGCAGGCTAAACATGCCCAGCTCCTTAAGCCGCTCCTCATAGGGCTTGTTCTCCAGACCCTAGATCAATTTTAGGCGCCCTCCTCTGGACACATTTCAGCTTGTCAATATCTCTCTTCAGTTGTGGTGCCCAGAATTGGACACAATATTCCAGGTGGGGTCTAACCAAAGCGGAATAGAGCATGGGGAGCAGGACTTCCCTAGATCTAGACGCTATGCTCCTATTGATGCAGGCCAAAATCCCATTGGCTTTTTTTGCCGCTGCATTACATTGTTGGCTCATGCTTAAATTGTTGTCCACGAGGACTCCAAGATCTTGTTGTCCACGAGGACTCCAAGATATCCATATATATATATATATGGATAGAGTCGCTTGGATAACTCATTGCTCGTAATAATTTTGTTAAAATTATCCCTTTGAAGCAATATTGAAGTTTTTTTGAAAACAGGACATCCCTTTGCCCTTTCGGGAACTTTTTCCGCCATTTTTGTTATGACTCAGGAAGTGAGTCGGAAATTATTCAACTTTTCCTCGCTTCTGGTCCCTGGCCTTGGCTCAAGCCAGAGAAGCCAGTTTTAAACCAGAGAAGGGAGGAATTTCCTGGCTTTGGCCCAAGCCAGAGGAGCCAGTTTTAAAGCCAGAGAAGCCAGTTTTAAACCAGAGAAGGAAGGAATTTCCTGGCCTCAGCTCAAGCCAGAGAAGCCAGTTTTAAACCGGAGAAGGGAGGAATTTCCTGGCCACGGCTCAAGCCAGAGAAGCTTGTTCTCCAGACCCTTGATCATTTTAATCGCCCTCCTCTGGACACATTCCAGCTTGTCAATATCTCTCTTGAATTGTGGTGCCCAGAATTGGACACAATATTCCAGGTGTGGTCTAACCAAGGCGGAATAGAGCATGGGGAGCATGACTTCCCTAGATCTAGACACTATGCTCCCTCGATCTAGACTGAAAGTAGGGGACCTGAGAGCCATGTTTAAATATTTGGAAAGATGTCGCATTGAGGTGGGATAAAACTTGTTTTCTGCTGCTCCAGAGATTGGAACACAATGGACCCATGTATTCAAACTGCAAGGAAAGATATTCCACTTCTATATTAGGAAGAACTCACAACTCTGAGGGTGCTTGCCATAGATGCAGGCGAAACGTCAGGAGATAATACCTCTAAAGCGTGGCCATATAGCCCGAAAAACTTACAACAACCCAACTTCCTGAGAGATGTTTGAGAGTGAAATATGTTGCCTTGGAATCTCCTTCTCTGGAGGTTGTGAAACAGAGGCTGGTTGAACATCTGTTGGGAGGGCTTCAATTGGGCCTTGCTGCCTGGCATGAGGGGGTTGGACTGGATGAATTTTGAGTTCCCTTCCAATTCTATGTTGCTGGCTCTTGGGCAATGAGCATTGATTTGTTATGTGATTTTAGCTCCACTAAAACTGTGGGTTTGGGGCCTGGAGTGCCAACCTTCCAAAGGACCAGATAAGTCACAGGTGGGCTGAAGGCAAAACCAGAGGTGGTTGTAGGTTTTGTCGGGCTATCTGGCCATGTTCTAGAGGTATTTTCTCCTGACGTTTTGCCTGCATTTATGTCAAGCATCCTCAGAGGTAGTGAGGATGCTTGC